ATGGGCATGAGGGTGATGTATCTGTGGGAAAGGTTGTGATGCACCCTCTCACGCACTGGGTGATTGATTCGGGTTGCACCAGTCACATGACCCCACGGGCAGATTTGCTTGATGAGGTAAAACCCCCTGGGAAGATTCAAGTATGTGGCAGCAGCGTCAGGTGCTTTGCTCCCGTGATTGGTGTTGGGAATGCCAAGGTTAAGGGAGCTAATGGGGAGCTTGTGGGGCTTGGGAATGTTCTGCTGGTTAAAGGCTTGTCTGCTAACCTTCTCTCTGTGCGGCGACTGCAGAAGAGCAAGGCCGAAGTGACCTTTGGACCAACCAGCTGCCGTGCTAAGCTTGGGAAGAAGGTGCTGTGGAGTCTGGAAGAGGAGACCAGCTGCATCAAGGACCTGTGGCAGCTGCCCATCATCCCTTGGAATGGGAAGACTCCAACAGCAAGCAGCAGCGGCAAAGGCAACAGCAGGAGGAGATGCAACTGCACCAACTGATGGGGTCCTGGAAGCAGTCAAGAAAGTGCAGAAGCAGCAGACACATGGTGAGGTGCTTGCTGGTGTGGATGCGAGTGCGGCATGGGCTAAGGCTTCATCAAGGAGTGGAGAGGCCGATTGGGAGACATGGCATGAGAGGCTGTGTCATGTGAACTTCCCTATGCTGCAGAAGTTGGTGAAGATGGGAGCCTGAAGGGCTTGGAGGTGAAAGGGGAAGTGAAGGAGATTGGGAGCTGCCCTACATGCTTGGAGACCAAGTTCTCCAAGTTCCCCTTCAACAGCACTACAGGACCAGCCAAGACCCCACTTGCACTTGTGCACATGGATGTGGTGGGGCCCACAAGAGCCCCTTCCCTCTCAGGTAGCCGCTATTTCTTGACAATTGTGGATGACCACACTCGGGCAGTGTGGGTTTACCCTTTGAAGAGCAAGGGGGAGGTGGCAGCGGCTGTCCTTAAGGAGTGGATGCCGAGAGCTCAGAGGGAATGCGGACACAAGGTGAAGGTGATCCGTAGTGACAATGGTGGGGAGTTCATTGGAGCTGATTTTGAGGGGGAGTTGAAGAGGAAGGGGATCCAGCATCAACTGACAGTGCCCTACAACCCGCAGCAGAATGGCGTGGCTGAGAGGTTCAACAGGACCCTGCAGGAGGGGGCACGCACTCTCCTTGGGCGTGCAGGGCTGCCTGATCCATTTTGGGTGTCTGCACTGAGGCAGGTCGCCCTTGTGAAGAACAGGGTGCTGGCTACAGTTGGAGATAAGGAGTGGATCCCATATGTCAAGTGGTATGGGAGTGCTCCAGCTGTGAACATGCTGAGGGCATTTGGGTGCATGGTGGTGTTTCATGTGCCTAAGGAGAAAAGGGGGAAGTTGGAGGCTTCTGGAAGATGGGGTGTGCACTTGGGGATTGCAAAGGATCACAAGGGATGGCTTCTATGGGACTTGACCATCCAGAAGCTGACAGTGTCAAGGGATGTGAAGTTTCTTGAGTCCCTGTACTATAAGGAATGGAAGCAGCAGCAACAGAAGCTTCCATCTACACCACTCATTGTGGAGGCAGATGAGTTGCAGCAGCCTTCAAGGCAGGTGGAGGTTGCAGTGTCTGAGGAGGAGATATCTGGGGTGACTGAAGAAGGGGAGCAGCTGAAGTGGAGCAGCAACAGCAACATGAGTCTCCACCTCGAGTTCCACAGCCGCCTGAGCGACCTAGGAGGGATGTGCGCCCTCCTGTGAGGCTGACCTATGGGGGAAGAGGCAAGCCAAATGTGGTGCAGGCTGGGAGTGTGGTTGAGCAGATTGAGGAAGATGAGATCGCTCACTGCTACTGGGCACCAATCCCTGAGCCCAAGACTCGAGAAGAGGCCTTGAATGGACCAAATGGGGAGAAGTGGAAGGCGAGTGAGGATGAGGAGTTCGGGTCCCTGATTGAAAACGAGACATGGGACCTGTGTGACTTGCCTCCTGGGAAGAAGGCAATCACTTCCAAGATGATCTACAGGCACAAGTATGGACCTGAAGGGGAGCTGACCCGCTACAAGTCTAGGCTTGTGGCAAGGGGGTTTCAGCAGACAAAAGGGAAGGACTATGATGAGGTGTTTGCTCCTGTGGGGAAAGGAACAACACTGAGGGTGCTGTTGGCGATAGCTGCACTCCTGGGATGGAAGATACGGCAGATGGACATTGTGACTGCCTTTCTGAATGGGATCATTCTGGAGGAGGTGTATATGAAGCAGCCAGAGGGGCTGGATGATGGGAGCGGCAGGGTCTGCAGGCTGAAGAAGGCCATCTATGGCCTTAAGCAGGCGCCTCGTGCATGGTATCACAAGTTGGAGGAGGCGCTGTTGGCTGGGGGTTTCAAGAAGAGTGAGTGTGACCCCAGCCTGTTCCTGCTGCAGGAGAAGGATGAAATCCTCATGCTCTTGGTGTACGTGGATGATATCCTTCTCTTTTCTGCATCAACTGCTTTGCTGGACAGCGCAGAGCAGATGCTAGAGATGCAGTTCAAGTGTTCCAAGATGGGTGAGGTGAAGTACTACTTGGGGATGCATGTGGAGAGAGATGTGGAGAAGGGTGTGCTGAGGTTGCACCAGAGGAAGTACTGTGAGGGGCTGGCTGAGAAGTATGGGCTGCAAGATGGGGGAAAGCCAGCAACACCACTACCTTCAGGGTTTACTGTGGAGCCATGTGCTGATGAGGAGGTAGTGGGTGAGAGTGACAGGAAGCTGTTTCATTCGATGGTTGGGTCGCTGAATTATGCTGCAAATCATACACGGCCTGACATTGCATTTTCTACATCACGGTTGGCTAGTGTGGTCTCACGCCCTAGTCATGAGCAGCTGGAAGCGGCCAAGAGGTTGGTCCGCTATGTGAGTGCTACGGCATCAGTGGGATTGGAGTACAGTGGAGTGAGGCAGCGGTTGCAGAGAGGTGCTGCAGATGTGAAGAGTGGAGAGATGCTCTTGAGTTGCTATACTGACGCTAGCTTCAACTCAGTGAAAGCGGATGGCACCAGCATTGGGGGATATGTGTGCTTGCTAGGAGGTGGTGCTGTGAGCTGGCGCAGCAAGAAGCAGAATGAGGTGGGATTGTCCTCATGTGAGACTGAGTACATGGCCTTACACCATGGGGCCAAGGAAGTGGTGTGGCTGAGGCGCTTGTTGGAGGAGTTGGGAGTTGGTCAGGAGAAGCCGACAGTTGTGTTTTGTGACAATGAGTCCGCTGTGAAGCTCGCCAAGAATGCTTGTCTGCATGGGCTGACAAAACACATAAGGCCTAAGTGGCATTGGGTGAGGAGACTCCTTGATAAGGAGGTGCGGCTGGAGATAGTGAAGACCCATCAGCAGGCAGCAGATATTTTCACCAAGCGTCTGGCGGAGGCGGATCATTGGAAGGGCATGAAGCTTGCTGGGATGAGTGTGCATTGAGTATGCATGCTTGAGATGTGGTATGGTGGATGATGGTTGGCAGCCAGAGGGGGAGATTGTTGTGTGATGTCATCATATGCTATCACATTCTGTCTGCCTCCCATCCCATGTTTTCAACTTGCATGTGTGGTTTGAATGTGCAAGCATTTGTGTGGTGTGTGTTCTGGAGTTTGGGAATGTGTTCTGTGTTATTTTTGTTTGAGCAGGTATTTGTGATGATAGATCTTGAGAAGATCTTTCCGACGCAACAAGAATCGCTTCAATCGGAGCAAGAACGCGAAAGCTATGAAGATTCAAAGTTCATGAGCTTGCGTTACAATTGCGGCGGTTACTAAGTGAAGTTGTGGGGTGACTTTATATGGAGTTGGGACCTTTGGGGTTGGGGAAACTTGTCACTCTACTGTAACAGCTGCAAATAGGTTGGGAACAACCAAGCTAGGTTGGCAAGGGTGGCCAACTTGGATGGATTGGTTGGGAAGGGACAAAGGTCAAAGTTGAGGTTCCTATAGGGAGGGAATCTTTGTGCTTATGGGGTTTCCTTGGTTGGGGACTCTCTTGGGACCTTCCCTCTCATCCCTCTCTTCCTATCCCAACCTTTCTCTTGCTCCTTCTAATTCCTTGTGAGATTCTTGAACTTTGATTGAATCTTTGAGATTGAGTTAAGTTCTCCTCCTACAGCTTACCCCCTAATGCGTCGAAAGCCATAGCGTCGCGAATACTTCATCAATCAACATGATTCAAATTGGGAACGGTAGCTGAGATAAAGAGCTACAACATATCCAAGTTTCGCGACATTCCAACGGCTAGGTTTTCGTCGACGTCGTTTCTTGTGAAGACGACTTTTCTGTCCAGAATTTCGGATTTATATTTTGAGTAATTCTAGCTCCTAAGTTCACCTAGACTCCGTCCTTAATCCTAACAAGATGCTGCTGCCAGAGCCGCGGGGCTTGCTTGATCCCGTATAGGGATTTTGTCAGTCGGCATATTTTCGTGGGGTCGTCGATGAATCCGTGGGGTTGTTCGACGAAGATCTCAGCGTCCACAGGTGCGTATAGGAACGCATTCGCGACATCAATTTGGCGTAGTGGTAGTGTTTTTGTGGCCGCGACGGCGAGTAGGATGCGTAATGAGGTGTGACGGGAGACTGGGGCGAAGGTTTCTGTGTAGTCGGTTCCGTATCGTTGATCGAAGCCTCGTACGACCCATCGAGCTTTGAATCGTTCGATGGAGCCGTCTGAGTTGGTCTTGATGCGGTACACCCATTTCCCCGAGAGAACGTTCTTCCCGTTGATGCTCGTTGCAGGTACCAGTTTCCATGTTTCTCGGTCTTGCAGAGCTTTTAACTCCTTTTCCATCGCTTCTTTCCATTTTGCCTTATGTTCCCCCCCCAGAGCCTGCGACAAGGTTGAAGGCTCACGCGTAGAAGGCGGCGGCGGATGCTGGACGGAGACCCAGAGGCCTAGAATCTGGAGTCCCGTGGGTGTGTGTCGAGGGGAATTGTCATTCCCCGAATAAGCTGCTTCGTCACCGTCTTCGGGGTCAGGTAAGAAATTGGGGCCGATGCGTTCCGAAATATTCGTGTCGACGGGGTGCGGTGTAGCGTAACCTTGGTCGGCGAAGTGGTAAAAGGTGTCGAGGTTGTTGCTATCGAGGGGATTATCTTCATCGAGTGGAACAGGTATGGAACAGAATGGGAGTGGCCCGGCAGCTTCCGAGGCTCCAGGTACGTCTTCTTCTGCTGCGTCAGCCACGGCAGCATGGTCAGCGAAGGAGCGAAGGCCCGCGAAGCCGTCGGTGGGGTCGTCTGAGTTGGCAATGTTGTCCAGGTAATGCTGCAGCGTCAGTCGCTCGTAGAAGATAACATCACGTGATGCCACCGTATTTTTGTCTTGTATGTCGAGGATCTTCCACGCGTGAAAATGTTTGGCGATGCCGAGGTGTAGTCCCCACCGAGCTCGTTGAGTGAAGCGTCCTGCTCGAGCTGTGTGGGGTCTGTATTGTACCATGCAGCCGAAAACTCGAAGTAATTTTGTGCTGCCCCTTTTTCCCGTCCACAGCAGGTGTGGTGATGCGTTGTTGGGGAGCGATGACGAGGACAACAGGTTGTGCAGGTGGACTGCATGTGTCATCGCGTCTGGCCACAGTGCGTTGGGCAGCCTCATCCCCAGAAGCAGTTTTCGCATCGTCGTCTGCAAGGTCCGGTTCATGCGTTCTGCTACCCCCTGCTGCTGGTGAGCATAGGGCAGAGACACCAGGCGTCGGATTCCCCTTTCCGCGAGATAGGTCCTGAAGCGTTGTGACTGGTATTCCAGTGCACCGTCTGACTGGAAACTCTTGAGTTTGGTTCCTGACTCTCGTTCGGCGATTGGAAGCCATGTGGTGAATGCCTCGAAGGCTTGATCGCGCGTTTTGAGATTGAAGTGCCAGACGTATCTGGTTGCGGCGTCGATGAACGTGATGACGTAGTTGAAGTCGGCTTCGGTGTCGTCTCGAGGCATGTTTAGAATATCGCTGTAGACCTTTTCCATCGGAGCGTAAGTGGGTGCGCTTGGATTGTGATGGGCTGGAAAGGTTGATGAGGAAGATCTGCTTCGGGGCATGTGAAACACCGTGCGCGTGGTCGTCGGAGTTCCTGGCCGCTCGTCGTCAGAAGGGCGTTGCGTTCTAACACTTCTGCTTGGATTGTTTGAAGTATCGTGCTGTTTGCAGGATGTCCGAGACGTTGGTGCCAGATGTCGTCGGGAGCGCGGTGACCGGGCGAGCGGTGGTAGATGTCGGCGTTGGAGAAGAACGCGACGACCGAGGCGGGACTTCGACAAGCTTCTCGTGTGGCGGGCATAAGTTGGTCTGCTTCGGTTGGCTGTCCTCGTGTCGCTGGTGGTGGTACTCGGCTGGGTCCTGCTGCCGATACTGCAGGTGATGGTTTTGTTGGGACACTTGCGGGTACTTGTCTTTCTTGTCTGATAACTGCTAATGCTCGTGTTCTTTCTGCTGCAGGTATGGTGTTGGAGTGCCAGAAGCCGTCGCTGTCGAAGTCGGGATCAAGATCTGGCGGATGAGTCCAGGCGGCGAAGGATACGATACCGTCGCTGTCGGCAGTTCCGCGGTCGGGGACGAAGTCCAACACGAAGACACCGGACTTCAGGAGGGCACGACCGATGAAGAGACCGCCCTTCCCGTGGTAAAGTCGGAACTCGTTGGAGAAGGAGTCGCACTCCAGGTGAATCCCCTTAGCCATTAGTTGGCTTACGCTTAATAGGTTGTATCCCAGATTGTCGACGATGAGGACCTTGTTGAGCTGAAGAATAACGTTTGTCTCCATTGATTGTAACTGAACCACGCCTTGTCTATTTGTTTTCAGGTTTTCGTTGTTGGCGACGGTGATGACGACGTCACGGTTGAGGCGTCGCTCGTGTTGTACGAAGCGTCCGGAGGAGCACATGTGCTGACCGCAGCAACTGTCCAAGAACCAGGTGTTCCGCCCGGTGGGTTCGGCGTTAGCGACTGCAGCGTATGTCGGGTTGACCTGAAGTCCTTGCGAGCGCGGCGGCGGGAATTCCTCTTCGTCTGGTGCGTAAGTGGGTGGTGAAGCGGGTGCGCAGTTGTCGATGTGTACCATGCAGTTGATGATGTTGGGTGTTTGTTGTGCAGATGTTGAAGAGCGCCTTGGAGGACTTGCTTGAGTGGAAGCGACTTGTGGGTCTGCTGCACGGTAAACGCGAGGGCGGTTGCAGTTGACCTTGGAGTGCCCGGAAGTCTGACAGTTGTGGCAGAACGGCGGCACGATGGTGAGTCCTCGGTTGTCACGTTGATCTTGCTTGCTGCGTCGGTTGTAGTTGTTGTCATTTCTTCTTTGAGTGTAGAAGACTAACTGCTGTTGCTTCCTTGGTTGTCTTTCCTCGAACAGATCCATCTCCTGTTGTTCAGCGTGAAGCTCGGCGCAGAGGTGCATCTCCGAAATTCTTCCGTGGGCTCGAAGAAGTGATCGTGTGGTTCTCCATTCTGGCCCGAGCCCGGCGAGGACAAGTGTCACGAAGCTTTCTTCAGTGATCGTTCCTCCGCACCGAAGCAGGCGGTCGCGGAGGGTCTGGCAGCGACTCATATACTGCATCGCCTTTTCCCCGGTCTTCATCTGTATTGTTGTCAGCTGTTGCATGAGTCTGCTTTGTGTCACGCTGTCGTTTGCTTGGTAAAGGCATTTGAGGTGGTGCCATGCGAGCTCCGCGGAGTTTCCATAACTCCGATACGTTCTGATGCTCTGCTGCTCTTGTGGTGACAGGTTTCTCAGGAGTACCGTGTACGCCAGCAGCGACTGATACGTGAAGATCTCTTGTTCCTTCCCAGTGCCGTTGCTTGGGAATGGCAGGGACCCGTTGAAGTATCCCAGAAGATGCGCGGCCTCCATCAGCAGCTCGAACTCGAAGCTCCAGGTAAAGAAGTCGTGTCCGTTGAACGGTGAGGATGTCTGAAGTTTGATCACGTGTGAGAACTGCGCCTGTAAACTTAAGATTTCATTCGGTGTTTGTTGTGAAGCAGCTGCTGTTGGCTGGGCACGGGGCGGCATGAATTCGAACGTCCCCGGCGAAGAATGATAAGGCGCAAAGGTAGGCGCTTGATTGTGTCGCCCGAAGGATGAGTTGTCGAGGCTCATCGGCGCTAATCCCATATTCCCTCCATTGCTCTGTGTTGAGTGCGCAGGTGTCCTTGTCTGCTGCTGCTGATCGAAATGTGACATGAAGCTGAAGAATCTCTCCATGAGATTCGGGTCCACACTTGAAGAGGGAGACGGGGTCACCATCTCTGGTACTCTTCCCGTTGTTTCTTGAGCAGTCCCGGTCTCTGTCTGCAGTCCTGAGGTGTGCAGACCAGAGTTGCCGTGTTGAGTTTCTTGGGCGCTGGGTGAGCCCGTAGAGACTTTCTTGCCCTTGTTGTCCATGTCTTGTAATCAATGAAGTCGTTGAATTGAGTTGAGTTGCAGGTTGTTGATAGGACGTAGTTGCTGGGAGTTTGGTCTCTGACCAGCTCTCATACCATGTTGGGCTGAGAAAAACCCTTTAGGATCTTTTGCAGAGACTAAGTCCCAGCTGTAAAGACTTGAGACTTGGAGTAGTGCAGCGGAAGTTGAGGCAGTTGAACCCTTGTACTAGTATGTGAGAACAAGTGATTGATTAAAGAAACAAGCATACAGCAATATATAGTAGATAAGAAAGCAGTTGTAGAATACAGTTACAGGAACGGTTTATCGAGTCGCACAGCGACTCGATTGCCGCTTCGGTTACCATCCGTGATGTTGTAACGGTCAGTCGCAACCTCCAGTTGCGACCTTTCGAGTCCTTTCGCATTCTTTGTCCGCCCCCTCGTGTAACCTCCGTTGACTCGCGTGCTCCCCTGTAATCTTCCTCGAGTACAGTGTTACACTTCAGAAACGCTTAAGTCCTTGAGATATTTCCAACACTCCCCTTCGTTTCTGGAGTGCTGGAGTGTTCAGATCCGGTGGCGTTTGTTTGCCCGGTTAGGAGCATGCAGTAGTCGAATTTTGCTTTCGCCAATTTCTTCGTCAGATAATCTCCGGCCATTTCTGTCGTCGGGCAGTAACTGAGTTGAAGTCTCCCCTTCGCGATTTCATCCTTGACGAAGAAGTACCGCAGGGCGATATGCTTGTTTCTTTAATCAATCACTTGTTCTCACATACTAGTACAAGGGTTCAACTGCCTCAACTTCCGCTGCACTACTCCAAGTCTCAAGTCTTTACAGCTGGGACTTAGTCTCTGCAAAAGATCCTAAAGGGTTTTTCTCAGCCCCACATGGTATGAGAGCTGGTCAGAGACCAAACTCCCAGCAACTACGTCCTATCAACAACCTGCAACTCAACTCAATTCAACGACTTCATTGATTACAAGACATGGACAACAAGGGCAAGAAAGTCTCTACGGGCTCACCCAGCGCCCAAGAAACTCAACACGGCAACTCTGGTCTGCACACCTCAGGACTGCAGACAGAGACCGGGACTGCTCAAGAAACAACGGGAAGAGTACCAGAGATGGTGACCCCGTCTCCCTCTTCAAGTGTGGACCCGAATCTCATGGAGAGATTCTTCAGCTTCATGTCACACTTCGATCAGAAGCAGCAGACAAGGACACCTGCGCACTCAACACAGAGCAATGGAGGGAATATGGGATTAGCGCCGATGAGCCTCGACAACTCATCCTTCGGGCGACACAATCAAGCGCCTACCTTTGCGCCTTATCATTCTTCGCCGGGGACGTTCGAATTCATGCCGCCCCGTGCCCAGCCAACAGCAGCTGCTTCACAACAAACACCGAATGAAATCTTAAGTTTACAGGCGCAGTTCTCACACGTGATCAAACTTCAGACATCCTCACCGTTCAACGGACACGACTTCTTTACCTGGAGCTTCGAGTTCGAGCTGCTGATGGAGGCCGCGCATCTTCTGGGATACTTCAACGGGTCCCTGCCATTCCCAAGCAACGGCACTGGGAAGGAACAAGAGATCTTCACGTATCAGTCGCTGCTGGCGTACACGGTACTCCTGAGAAACCTGTCACCACAAGAGCAGCAGAGCATCAGAACGTATCGGAGTTATGGAAACTCCGCGGAGCTCGCATGGCACCACCTCAAATGCCTTTACCAAGCAAACGACAGCGTGACACAAAGCAGACTCATGCAACAGCTGACAACAATACAGATGAAGACCGGGGAAAAGGCGATGCAGTATATGAGTCGCTGCCAGACCCTCCGCGACCGCCTGCTTCGGTGCGGAGGAACGATCACTGAAGAAAGCTTCGTGACACTTGTCCTCGCCGGGCTCGGGCCAGAATGGAGAACCACACGATCACTTCTTCGAGCCCACGGAAGAATTTCGGAGATGCACCTCTGCGCCGAGCTTCACGCTGAACAACAGGAGATGGATCTGTTCGAGGAAAGACAACCAAGGAAGCAACAGCAGTTAGTCTTCTACACTCAAAGAAGAAATGACAACAACTACAACCGACGCAGCAAGCAAGATCAACGTGACAACCGAGGACTCACCATCGTGCCGCCGTTCTGCCACAACTGTCAGACTTCCGGGCACTCCAAGGTCAACTGCAACCGCCCTCGCGTTTACCGTGCAGCAGACCCACAAGTCGCTTCCACTCAAGCAAGTCCTCCAAGGCGCTCTTCAACATCTGCACAACAAACACCCAACATCATCAACTGCATGGTACACATCGACAACTGCGCACCCGCTTCACCACCCACTTACGCACCAGACGAAGAGGAATTCCCGCTGCCGCGCTCGCAAGGACTTCAGGTCAACCCGACATACGCTGCAGTCGCTAACGCCGAACCCACCGGGCGGAACACCTGGTTCTTGGACAGTTGCTGCGGTCAGCACATGTGCTCCTCCGGACGCTTCGTACAACACGAGCGACGCCTCAACCGTGACGTCGTCATCACCGTCGCCAACAACGAAAACCTGAAAACAAATAGACAAGGCGTGGTTCAGTTACAATCAATGGAGACAAACGTTATTCTTCAGCTCAACAAGGTCCTCATCGTCGACAATCTGGGATACAACCTATTAAGCGTAAGCCAACTAATGGCTAAGGGGATTCACCTGGAGTGCGACTCCTTCTCCAACGAGTTCCGACTTTACCACGGGAAGGGCGGTCTCTTCATCGGTCGTGCCCTCCTGAAGTCCGGTGTCTTCGTGTTGGACTTCGTCCCCGACCGCGGAACTGCCGACAGCGACGGTATCGTATCCTTCGCCGCCTGGACTCATCCGCCAGATCTTGATCCCGACTTCGACAGCGACGGCTTCTGGCACTCCAACACCATACCTGCAGCAGAAAGAACACGAGCATTAGCAGTTATCAGACAAGAAAGACAAGTACCCGCATGTGTCCCAACAAAACCATCACCTGCAGTATCGGCAGCAGGACCCAGCCGAGTACCACCACCAGCGACACGAGGACAGCCAACCGAAGCAGACCAACTTATGCCCGCCACACGAGAAGCTTGTCGAAGTCCCGCCTCGGTCGTCGCGTTCTTCTCCAACGCCGACATCTACCACCGCTCGCCCGGTCACCGCGCTCCCGACGACATCTGGCACCAACGTCTCGGACATCCTGCAAACAGCACGATACTTCAAACAATCCAAGCAGAAGTGTTAGAACGCAACGCCCTTCTGACGACGAGCGGCCAGGAACTCCGACGACCACGCGCACGGTGTTTCACATGCCCCGAAGCAGATCTTCCTCATCAACCTTTCCCAGCCCATCACAATCCAAGCGCACCCACTTACGCTCCGATGGAAAAGGTCTACAGCGATATTCTAAACATGCCTCGAGACGACACCGAAGCCGACTTCAACTACGTCATCACGTTCATCGACGCCGCAACCAGATACGTCTGGCACTTCAATCTCAAAACGCGCGATCAAGCCTTCGAGGCATTCACCACATGGCTTCCAATCGCCGAACGAGAGTCAGGAACCAAACTCAAGAGTTTCCAGTCAGACGGTGCACTGGAATACCAGTCACAACGCTTCAGGACCTATCTCGCGGAAAGGGGAATCCGACGCCTGGTGTCTCTGCCCTATGCTCACCAGCAGCAGGGGGTAGCAGAACGCATGAACCGGACCTTGCAGACGACGATGCGAAAACTGCTTCTGGGGATGAGGCTGCCCAACGCACTGTGGCCAGACGCGATGACACATGCAGTCCACCTGCACAACCTGTTGTCCTCGTCATCGCTCCCCAACAACGCATCACCACACCTGCTGTGGACGGGAAAAAGGGGCAGCACAAAATTACTTCGAGTTTTCGGCTGCATGGTACAATACAGACCCCACACAGCTCGAGCAGGACGCTTCACTCAACGAGCTCGGTGGGGACTACACCTCGGCATCGCCAAACATTTTCACGCGTGGAAGATCCTCGACATACAAGACAAAAATACGGTGGCATCACGTGATGTTATCTTCTACGAGCGACTGACGCTGCAGCATTACCTGGACAACATTGCCAACTCAGACGACCCCACCGACGGCTTCGCGGGCCTTCGCTCCTTCGCTGACCATGCTGCCGTGGCTGACGCAGCAGAAGAAGACGTACCTGGAGCCTCGGAAGCTGCCGGGCCACTCCCATTCTGTTCCATACCTGTTCCACTCGATGAAGATAATCCCCTCGATAGCAACAACCTCGACACCTTTTACCACTTCGCCGACCAAGGTTACGCTACACCGCACCCCGTCGACACGAATATTTCGGAACGCATCGGCCCCAATTTCTTACCTGACCCCGAAGACGGTGACGAAGCAGCTTATTCGGGGAATGACAATTCCCCTCGACACACACCCACAGGACTCCAGGTTCTAGGCCTCTGGGTCTCCGTCCAGCATCCGCCGCCGCCTTCTACGCGTGAGCCTTCAACCTTGTCGCAGGCTCTGGGGGGGGAACATAAGGCAAAATGGAAAGAAGCGATGGAAAAGGAGTTAAAAGCTCTGCAAGACCGAGAAACATGGAAACTGGTACCTGCAACGAGCATCAACGGGAAGAACGTTCTCTCGGGGAAATGGGTGTACCGCATCAAGACCAACTCAGACGGCTCCATCTCAGTGTGGGTATTGGCAACAAACACGTTCCTTAATTATGTCTCACCCAACCCAACCCAAATATGCCAGTTCGGGTACAGTACCGACTATATAGCTCAGGGTCAAGAAGATCAAGGTGGGAAACGTTTATTTGGAAATGGTGTACAGTAAACGTTTTGACACACATACCAAGTCCTATTTATATGCGCCATGTTATGGTCATTGTTGTGTGAGAGGATGCAGCAGCGGGTTGAGGTCCTGCACGCCAAAAACCATTCCCGGGCAGAAGCCGAATCCTGGTGGCCTCTGCTGCCCATGCACTAATCCACTGCGATTGAAATCCCACCTGCACCCGCTCTGCCCAAGAGAAAAGAAAGGGAACGGAGCGGACCGCACATGGGAAAGTATACAGTACATGATATTGAAGTAAACACATAACTGGTGATTCTACATGCGACATGCACAAGACCCAAGCTAAACGTCGGTCTACTACGTCCCACCTGCACAAGCTCTGCACGAGAACAAGGGTAAGGAAAGGACTACGACAGGTATAACAAGCAGTGTACATACATGTGTAACTGATTACTTTGAGAGGATATGCATGAAAATCAACAGGAACACACAAAAGTAGGGATGAATGTGTAAGTGAACAACTGTTATGCCACTCTCTTACGGCGGACACTTGATGGCGAGCAGAAGAATTTGCTTCTGAGCTGACTCTCACGAGCTAAGTGAGAAATTAGATCAAGGGAGCATGGCACACACCCCCCAAACACGCATCCCCCTGCATTGCCTATCAGCACCCTTCTCAGCGGTCTCGCACGTACCATTATGACCAGAGCCCCCAGGGTGTTGCAGGGCCCTCGCACTCGCCCACCGCACCCCCCTCTTACTCGCCCACCGCACCCCCCTCTTACTCGCCCACCGCACCCCCTCTCACTTGCCCACCGCACCCCCTCTCACTCGCCCACCGCACCCCCTCTCACTCGCCCACCGCACCCCCTCTCACTCGCCCACCGCACCCCCTCTCACTTGCCCACCGCACCCCTCTCACTCGCCCACCGCACCCCCTCTCACTCGCCCACCGCACCCCTCTCACTCGCCCACCGCACCCCCTCTCACTCGCCCACCGCACCCCCTCTCACTCGCCCACCGCACCCCCTCTCACTCGCCCACCGCACCCCCTCTAACTCGCCCACCGCACCTCCTCTCACTCGCCCACCGCAACCCCTCTCACTCGCCCACCGCACCCCCTCTCACTCGCCCACCGCACCCCCTCTCACTTGCCCACCGCACCCCCTCTCACTCGCCCACCGCACCCCCTCTCACTCGTGTACCTCCCATGCACCATCTGACCGGAGCCCCCATGGTGTTGCAGCCTGCAGAGCTCTCACTTGCCTCTCACGCAGAGAACACCCTTTCTTAAATGGGCTCTCGGCCATTCAGAACCCCAAGGGGAGGGTCAGCAGCGCCAGCCAACATCAACAGGCACTGGTCCAACCAGGCATGCATCAACATTCACTCACTTGTATGACCGGAACCCCCATGGTGTCACAAGGCTCCGACGACACGCGCTCGCAGACGGGCCCTGTCATATTGCGCCAGTCCACGCTGCGCATCTTGATCACTGTGATCTGCATCGAGTATGCGTCCACGCCCGCCAGCCCCAGTGCCGTGCGGCCGAATGACGAGATGTGCGTTATGAGCAGGCGGTCGCTGCAGGCAGGGGAACAAGGGCGCAGGGGAACACGGGCGCAGGGGAACACGGGCGCAGGGGAACACGGGCGCAGGGGAACACGGGGAGGCAGTGGGGGGAATGGGTGGAGGGAGAACGGCGGTGGTGGGTGGTGGGTGAGTGAGGGGTGGGGGCGTAGGGTGAGGGGCGTAGGGTGAGGGGCGTAGGGTGAGGGGCGTAGGGTGAGGGGCGTAGGGTGAGGGGCGTAGGGTGAGGGGCGTAGGGTGAGGGGCGAAGGGTGAGGGGCGTAGGGTGAGGGGCGTAGGGTGAGGGGTGGGGAGTGCGTCATTAGCACAGGTTCGCTGGCAGCACGGGACGGGAATGGCGAGCAGGGGAAAGAGTGGGGAGGGGGGGGGTGTTCTCATGGGGGGGATCTGGGGGCGAGAGTGAAGAGGAGGCTCACCGATGTTGTGGCTGGCGGTGATGGCCATGCTATGAGATGCACATTTTTCAGTCGAAGCGCTTTTCCTTAAAATGTTACTTTCACATGAAATTCTGAGTGAAGGAAATGAGACCCTGCGCCTTTATATGAGCACTCTGTGTGCGTACAAGCCTCTGCTATGAAAATTCCGGCATACTAAGGAAGCCTTCACACGTTTGATGACAAGTAAAAAGGCTTGCCATGTTCGATGGTTGGTAAAAGCGCCTCCATACGTTGGATGCACCCGAAAAAGACATGCTGCTAAATCTACACGCCCACACGCAGTGGCGATCAGCTGTTGCTCTTGCCCGTTCTCATGTCGCGGCACGGCCTCTGTGAGAACCTCCTTCAATCTTTGAGAAATCTCAGCAACCGCTCAAAGGGACAAGGTGCGTACGTGAAGCTGAGGATCCACATGTCCGTGATAGCGGCGATCAGCTGCTGCTACGACTTGCTCTCGTGTTGCAGCATGGAGCCTTCCGGGATTCCTCTATGAACTCAAGCCATCAGCGAGATCAGGTACCTGAAGCTGAGGTACCTGAAGCTGAGGTACCTGAAGCTGAGGTACCTGAAGCTGAGGTACCTGAAGCTGAGGTACCTGAAGCTGAGGCACCTGAAGCTGAGGCACCTGAAGCTGAGGTACCTGAAGCTGAGGCACCTGAAGCTGAGGTACCTGAAGCTGAGGTACCTGAAGCTGAGGTACCTGAAGCTGAGGTACCTGAAGCTGAGGTACTTGAAGCTGAGGTACCTGAAGCTGAGGTACTTGAAGCTGAGGTACCTGAAGCTGAGGTACCTGAAGCTGAGGTACCTGAAGCTGAGGTACCTGAAGCTGAGGTACCTGAAGCTGAGGTACCTGAAGCTGAGGTACCTGAAGCTGAGGTACCTGAAGCTGAGGTACCTGAAGCTGAGGTACCTGAAGCTGAGGATCCACATGTCCATGACCGCGTCGATCTGCTGCTGCTCCCTCCAGTTCTCCCTGCCCTCGTTGGTGAGCCTGCATGGGACGCGGGCACAGGGAGAGCGAGCACAGGGAGAGCGAGCACAGGGAGAGCGAGCACATGGAGAGCGAGCACATGGAGAGCGAGCACAGGGAGAGCGAGCACAGGGAGAGCGAGCACAGGGAGAGCGAGCACAGGGAGAGCGAGCACAGGGAGAGCGAGGACAGGGAGAGCGAGGACAGGGAGAGCGAGCACAGGGAGAGCGAGCACAGGGAGAGCGAGCACAGGGAGAGCGAGGACAGGGAGAGCGAGGACAGGGAGAGCGAGGACAGGGAGAGCGAGGACAGGGAGAGCGAGGACAGGGAGAGCGAGGGGTTTGAACTTGGTGCTGAACCATAGGTCTGGTTATAACCGTTATTCGTTTGATACTAAACAGATGCCATGTAATTGACCATGCGCTTGCTACCTACCGTAGGTCTATCATACGTGTGCAGATGACATATGCTAAGTGCTAAACGATAGGTTTGGTACTAACCATAGGAGAGGTACTTTACCTCAGCTCTGGTGTTAGCCGAAGGTATGTTAGTCATTCTTCTTTTAATTAGTGTTATTTTGTTATACAGATCCACACCATAGATTAGGTACAGATCAAAGATGGGTGAAGCTTGGACGTGAAATGTCAGTGGCAAATAGCATTTAGGCAGCACGAGCAGAAGGAAGGCATGCCAGCACAAGAACATGGCATGGCATGAGTGGCAGAAACTCACGAGCAGAATGCGATGGGTCTCAGCCACTAGCATAACACTCACTCACTCACTCACTCACCCATGCTACTTCAGTTGGCTCAAAAGCCGTCTTCACGTCCAGCATGTGCCCGATGTTTAGCGACGACACACACACCCCCATTGCGATGCCCCCCCACACCGCAGTCATGTCGCCATGCTGTCATGCGGTCATGTTGTCATGCAGCCATGCAGTCAGGCAGGCATGCAGCCATGCAGTCAGGCAGGCATGCAGCCATGCAGTCAGGCAGGCATGCAGCCATGCAGTCAGGCAAGCATGCAGCCATGCAGTCAGGCAGGCATGCAGCCATGCAGTCAGGGAGGCATGCAGCCATGCAGTCAGGCAGGCATGCAGCCATGCAGTCAGGGAGGCATGCAGCCATGCAGTCAGGCAGGCATGCAGCCATGCAGTCAGGCAGGCATGCAGCCATGCAGTCAGGCAGGCATGCAGCCATGCAGTCAGGGAGGCATGCAGCCATGCAGTCAGGCAGGCATGCAGCCATGCAGTCAGGGAGGCATGCAGCCATGCAGTCAGGCAGGCATGCAGCCATGCAGTCAGGCAGGCATGCAGCCATGCAGTCAGGCAGGCATGCAGCCATGCAGTCAGGGAGGCATGCAGCCATGCAGTCAGGCAGGCATGCAGCCATGCAGTCAGGGAGGAATGCAGCCATCCAGTCAGGCAGGCATGCAGCCATGCAGTCAGGGAGGCATGCAGCCGTGCAGTCAGGCAGGCATGCAGCCATGCAGTCAGGCAGGCATGCAGCCATGCAGTCAGGCAGGCATGCAGCCATGCAGTCAGGCAAGCATGCAGCCATGCAGTCAGGCAGGCATACAGCCATGCAGTCAGGGAGGCATGCAGCCATGCAGTCAGGCAGGCATGCAGCCATGCAGTCAGGCAGGCATGCAGCCATGCAGTCAGGCAGGCATGCAGCCATGCAGTCAGGCAGGCATGCAGCCATGCAGTCAGGCAGGCATGCAGCCATGCAGTCAGGGAGGCATGCAGCCATGCAGTCAGGCAGGCATGCAGCCATGCAGTCAGGCAGGCATGCAGCCATGCAGTCAGGCAGGCATGCAGCCATGCAGTCAGGCAGGCATGCAGCCATGCAGTCAGGCAGGCATGCAGCCATGCAGTCAGGCAGGCATGCAGCCATGCAGTCAGGCAGGCATGCAGCCATGCAGTCAGGGAGGCATGCAGCCATGCAGTCAGGCAGGCATGCAGCCATGCAGTCAGGCAGGCATGCAGCCATGCAGTCAGGCAGGCATGCAGCCATGCAGTCAGGGAGGCATGCAGCCATGCAGTCAGGCAGGCATGCAGCCATGCAGTCAGGCAGGCATGCAGCCATGCAGTCAGGCAGGCATGCAGCCATGCAGTCAGGCAGGCATGCAGCCATGCAGTCAGGCAGGCATGCAGCCATGCAGTCAGGCAGGCATGCAGCCATGCAGTCAGGCAGGCATGCAGCCATGCAGTCAGGCAGGCATGCAGCCATGCAGTCAGGCAAGCATGCAGCCATGCATTCAGGCAGGCATGCAGCCATGCAGTCAGGCAGGCATGCAGCCATGCAGTCAGGCAGGCATGCAGCCATGCAGTCAGGCAGGCATGCAGCCATGCAGCCAGGCAGGCATGCAGCCATGCAGTCAGGCAGGCATGCAGCCATGCAGTCAGGCAGGCATGCAGCCATGCAGTCAGGCAGGCATGCAGCCATGCAGTCAGGGAGGCATGCAGCCATGCAGTCAGGCAGGCATGCAGCCAGGGAGGCATGCAGCCATGCAGTCAGGCAGGCATGCAGCCATGCAGCCAGGCAGGCATGCAGCCATGCAGCCAGGCAGGAATGCAGCCATGCAGTCAGGCAGGCATGCAGCCATGCAGTCAGGCAGGCATGTAGCCATGCAGTCAGGCAGGCATGCAGCCATGCAGCCAGGCAGGCATGCAGCCATGCAGTCAGGCAGGCATGCAGCCATGCAGTCAGGAGGCATGCAGCCATGCAGTCAGGCAGGCATGCAGCCATGCAGTCAGGCAGGCATGCAGCCATGCAGTCAGGCAGGCATGCAGCCATGCAGTCAGGCAGGCATGCAGCCATGCAGTCAGGCAGGCATGCAGCCATGCAGTCAGGCAGGCATGCAGCCATGCAGTCAGGCAGGCATGCAGCCATGCAGTCAGGCAGGCATGCAGCCATGCAGTCAGGCAGGCATGCAGCCATGCAGTCAGGCAGGCATGCAGCCATGCAGTCAGGCAGGCATGCAGCCATGCAGTCAGGCAGGCATGCAGCCATGCAGTCAGGCAGGCATGCAGCCATGCAGTCAGGGAGGCATGCAGCCATGCAGTCAGGCAGGCATGCAGCCAGGCAGGCATGCAGGCATGCAGTCAGGGAGGCATGCAGCCATGCAGTCAGGCAGGCATGCAGCCATGCAGCCAGGCAGGCATGCAGCCATGCAGCCAGGCAGGAATGCAGCCATGCAGTCAGGCAGGCATGCAGCCATGCAGTCAGGCAGGCATGTAGCCATGCAGTCAGGCAGGCATGCAGCCATGCAGCCAGGCAGGCATGCAGCCATGCAGTCAGGGAGGCATGCAGCCAGGCAGGCATGCAGCCATGCAGTCAGGGAGGCATGCAGGCATGCAGTCAGGCAGGCATGCAGCCATGCAGTCAGGCAGGCATGCAGCCATGCAGTCAGGCAGGAATGCAGCCATGCAGTCAGGCAGGCATGCAGCCATGCAGTCAGGCAGGCATGCAGGCATGCAGTCAGGCAGGCATGCAGCCATGCAGTCAGGCAGGCATGCAGCCATGCAGTCAGGCAGGCATGCAGCCATGCAGTCAGGCAGGCATGCAGCCATGCAGCCAGGCAGGCATGCAGCCATGCAGTCAGGCAGGCATGCAGGCATGCAGGCATGCAGGCATGCAGTCAGGGAGGCATGCAGCCATGCAGTCAGGCAGGCATGCAGCCATGCAGTCAGGCAGGCATGCAGCCATGCAGTCAGGCAGGCATGCAGCCATGCAGTCAGGCAGGCATGCAGCCATGCAGTCAGGGAGGCATGCAGCCATGCAGTCAGGCAGGCATGCAGCCATGCAGTCAGGCAGGCATGCAGCCATGCAGTCAGGCAGGCATGCAGCCATGCAGTCAGGCAGGCATGCAGCCATGCAGTCAGGCAGGCATGCAGCCATGCAGTCAGGCAGGCATGCAGCCATGCAGTCAGGCAGGCATGCAGCCATGCAGTCAGGGAGGCATGCAGCCATGCAGTCAGGCAGGCATGCAGCCAGGCAGGCATGCAGGCATGCAGTCAGGGAGGCATGCAGCCATGCAGTCAGGCAGGCATGCAGCCATGCAGCCAGGCAGGCATGCAGCCATGCAGCCAGGCAGGAATGCAGCCATGCAGTCAGGCAGGCATGCAGCCATGCAGTCAGGCAGGCATGTAGCCATGCAGTCAGGCAGGCATGCAGCCATGCAGCCAGGCAGGCATGCAGCCATGCAGTCAGGCAGGCATGCAGCCAGGCAGGCATGCAGCCATGCAGTCAGGGAGGCATGCAGGCATGCAGTCAGGCAGGCATGCAGCCATGCAGTCAGGCAGGCATGCAGCCATGCAGTCAGGCAGGAATGCAGCCATGCAGTCAGGCAGGCATGCAGCCATGCAGTCAGGCAGGCATGCAGCCATGCAGTCAGGCAGGCATGCAGCCATGCAGTCAGGCAGGCATGCAGCCATGCAGTCAGGCAGGCATGCAGCCATGCAGTCAGGCAGGCATGCAGCCATGCAGTCAGGCAGGCATGCAGCCATGCAGTCAGGGAGGCATGCAGCCATGCAGTCAGGCAGGCATGCAGCCATGCAGTCAGGCAGGCATGCAGCCATGCAGTCAGGCAGGCATGCAGCCATGCAGTCAGGGAGGCATGCAGCCATGCAGTCAGGCAGGCATGCAGCCATGCAGTCAGGCAGGCATGCAGCCATGCAGTCAGGCAGGCATGCAGGCATGCAGGCATGCAGGCATGCAGCCATGGCATCCCAGCCCAGCAGCACTTACGAGCAGAAGGTGACGAAGGTGTTGGTGAGGGGCAGCTGCTGCACGTAGTGCGTCTCCAGGTCCAGCATGTGCCGGATGCTCAGCGACGACACAAACACGCCCATCGTCCGAAACGACCGGTACGTGCTCTCAGCGCCACCCCCAGTGGAGTTGCCGAGCGTGGGCAGGGCCATGGAGGGGTCGTCGGGGTACGGCTGCGTGGGCGGCAAGTATCGCACTTGTACGGCACATTGGAGGATTCGGCTGGCCAATTTCAGGTCGATGCCGTCTGGAGAGCGAATCTGAAGCATGTGGGAAGATGTGGGGCCGGGGGTGATGGGGGAACATGCGATTGAAGCCATCCAGAGGGCTTGGCGTGATGGTGTGAGAGCACGTGGCATGGGGCAGAACCGGAGGCGAGACGTGGGCATGCGGCAATGTGCAGAAGCAAAGAAGGGTGACGACGGGGGTGGGAGAAGGAAGTGGATGAGGGAGAAAGGGGAGTGAGGGAGGGGAGTGAGCAGACGAGGAGGGAAGGGACCTGCAGGCTGGTGCTTATGCGGAATTCGGTGTCACACTGTTTGCGACCTCGTGTGTTGGATGAGACTCGAGGACACGAGTGCACGGCTGAGCGCACGGCTTGGTGCTGAGACCAGCACGCGGGGTCACAAACTCCAGTGCCGGGTCTGCAGTGCAACAACCACTGTCCCACCCACTTGCAGTCCCAGCCAGTGCAGGAAGAGGCTACCTGCAGGTTGGTTTTGCAACGTCTCTAAACACCACACCCTAAACAAGCAAACTTAAACCTACCTGCAGCCCGAGGCGGTGGGGGAAGTGGGCGAGGTTGGCAAGGAAGGTGTAGGTGATCTTGGCCCACAGGTGGTTGTCGGGGTGCAGGAGGAAGCGCGCCACGTGCGTGAACACGCGCCGGTCAGGAAACAGCTCGTGCAGGCGATCCTGTGGCGAGGGTGTTGACATGGAGGGGGTGTTGACATGGAGGGGAACGGAGGGAGTAACGTCACGAGGAAGGGAGCATCGGCACGTGCGTGGGTGCGTGAACACCCTGCGGTCAGGAAACAGCTCGTGCAGGCGATCCTGTGTGATGGGGAGTGGGAGCGTGGCGGGGGGGGTGCGAGGGGGGCGTGAGGAAGCGAGGCATGTGTGAATGCTCTTCACTCGGGGAACAGCTAGAGCAAACGGACTCGTGACGGGGGATTGCTAGGGGTATGTGATGAGAGTGCGATGGGGTTATGAGGAAACGAGCCAAGTGTGGGTGAGCATGCGGCAGGTGGGGTCTAGCTTGTTCAAGATGCGGTAGAGGTGTACACACTGCGAAGTGAGTGATGTAGTAGAGGCGCGCTCAATACGGTGTGATATCATCTCATGCTATCTCATTCTATGTGCCTCCCATCCGACTATTCTATCCCATCTGTCACCCCCTCTCACACCCCCTCTCACACCCCCTCTCACACCCCCTCTCACACCCCCTCTCACACCCCCTCTCACACCCCCTCTCACACCCCCTCTCACACGCCCTCTCAATTGGTCCTTTGTATTAGAAAGTGGGTGGTACAGGTATGGCAAAGAATTGCACACCACAGGTGAGTCCTAACAGCCCAGGCACACCCTCTCACACACCCTCTCACACCTTCGACGATCGGCCTACAACAACTTTAAATGTGAATTTAGACGGACAGCTAACGTCAAGACCTACAACATGCCCCGGCGGTGTTTTGGATAGGAACTAAGGTTTTGTAAAAAAAAAATTGTCACGATTGATGAGATATCTCGGCTTCCTTGATCCGTGTAGACTCCATCCTTTTTCTAACATTTTGCTTCCAAGTGGCGGATGTAGTAGAAGCGTGCTTACAGCAAAGTGGGTGGTGTAGCAGAAGCGCCCTTACAGCGAAGTGGGGGATGTAGTAAAAGCTGGGGAGGCAATAGGCGTCGATGCTGGCGAACCAGAAGGGGGCGAGGTCTGCTGCGGTCCACAAGAGGTCGCAGAAATCGTTGATGGTCCTGGCGGGTGGCAGAGGCATCAAAGGACGCGACAGGAGCAAAAGAAGGAGTCCAACATGCTTGCTGATGCAGGTGTGAGGCAAGCTGCCATCCAGAGGAGGCCACAGACGTCGCTGATGGTCCTCTCGGTGGAAGAGGCATGAAGGAAAGCAGTGAGTACAAGAGAGAGAGAGAGAGACGCCAACATGCCTGCTGGGTGCAGTGCAGATGCGTCTCTGTTGACACACCCCGCAGCACTGCACTGATTCAAACCGTCAACAGGTCCTTCGAAATTTCAGTGAGGCGAAGGTTGAGCCCTTAGCAGGTTTGGACTCCCCTGCAGCGCCTACGATGCCAAGTCACCCACCCCAGCACGTCCATGCACCTGTGCTGCATGCCTATCCCCTGTGCAGCATGCCTATCCCCTGTGCTGCAAACCCTCTCACATGTGGTTCAAGTGAACCCCAAAGGTCACCTCACCTCTGGTGCAATCCACACAAACCCATTCGTCACCACCCCCCTCTCCAACTACACTTACTACAGTCCAGTATACAATCATAATGTCATATGGACTCACGCCCTTATTAGAAACCAACGCCTGCCACAGCAGCGCGACTCACCTGTGCTGCAGGTCAATCCACACCGACCCGTTCCTCTCCAGCTGCACTGATCCGCACCTCGAGAGTCATAGGACTCGAACTGTATGGAGAAACCCATCCTCCCCACCGCACAACCACTCACGTGAAGTGCAGGTCCATCCACACCGACCCGTTCCTCTCCACCTGCCTCGCCAGCTGCAACCACTCATGCATGCGGCGCATGGTCGCAAATGTATCAGAAAAGCCATCCCCAGTCGCCGCCTCACCTGTAGTGCAGGTCCATCCACACCGACCCGTTCCTCTCCACCTGCCTCTCCAGATCCGCCCTCCCCGCGTCCACCTTCCCCTCCACCCCCGCCAGCCTCAGCTGCTTCGCCATGGCTGACAGGCGCAGCCGGGGCAGCGGCAGTGCTGACGCCAGCAGCAGTCTGGAGGGAGGGCGAGAAAGACCAGGGGATGGATGGAAGGGGTTGGTTGTGAAAGTGGTTAGCTTGTGCGAGGGGCAGTGTGAGTGGCCAACAGCACAGACACAAGGAAAGCGAGTGGCTGGCTCCGGTTTGCCCCTGCCTTCCCCTCGCCCGCCTGCCTCATCGGCTCCCTGCCGTGGCTGACAGGAGCAGTCGGGGCAGTGGCACTGCTGACGCCAGAAGCAGGCTGCCTTGGCAGTCGCGGGGCGTGGGGAGGGGCGCATGTGATGGTTGTCACTGCTCTTACCTACAAGCGGGTCTTCACAATTGTTAGAAATAGCACGAACCAGAAACACAAAAGAAAAAAAAAAAACCACTCACTCATACACGTCAGGATGAACAGTCCACGAGGTGTTGCCGCGGGCAAAGGGGTTGCAGAAGCGGCGGGTGAGGAAGCCCTTGGGTGGGGCTATGATGGCGCGGTCGGTGAGCAGGCCGAGCACAAAGGAGATGACGTACGACGCGATGCGGTTGCCCACTCCTGAGGGCAGCGCGGGTGGTGGGTGGGCACGGCAGATCGGCTCGTGAGCACGCCCAGCACAAACGAGATGACGCACCTTCTAGGGCTCACCCAGTCTGACATGCAGCATATGCCTTCGATTTCACGGGCCCACTCGAGCACGCACCTCGAACGAGGTCGTGAATGATGATGTAGCGGCAAGGCTTCCTCTCAGGCCCGTAGCGAGGCACCTCCGTGCCCCTGGTGGTGAGTGGAAACGAAAAAACACGGGAAGGAAGAAGAGTGGGAGGAAACGTGAGTGCATGGCGCACCAACCCACCCCACACACCAGCTCTGCTGATTCCGCACCCACTGCCGTCGCTCCACGCCCTCCTGGCTCATACAATTCCTCTGCATCACTCGTGAGCTTGACGTCTATAAGTGTGCCTCTCTCTTCAAGCCCACCCCCTCTTTAGTCACTTCAAGCCCACACCAGACACCAGCTGTGCTTGTCGCGCACCCACTGCCACTGCTCCACGTCCCCCTGGCTCACACACTCCCGCTGTGTGCCGCTCCCCTCCGACGTCTCTTCACACCCACCCCTTCTCAACTCCCTTCAAGCCCACCCACGCACCAGTTGTGCTTGTCACGCACCCACTGCCACTGCTCCACACCCTCCTGGCTCACACACTCTTCCTGCATCGCCTCATATGCCACCACCGCATCCACGAACGCCTGCGACGGGTGTGACCGGTCGGCCTGTGTGGCAAAGCAGAGACGGAATGGTGCAGAGGTAGTTGCAGCGGTAAGGATGGCAGATACCGCATGCTACAGACGTCCCTCCCCCACATACCGCGTGTTACAGACGTCCCTCCCACACATACCGCGTGCTACAGTCGTCCCTCCCACACACACCACGTGCTACAGATGACTCTCCCACACCTCTGGCTCATGCCGTGTGGTACAGGTGTCGCTCCTACTCATACGTGTGGTACAGGTGTCGCTCCCACACATACCGTGTGGTACAGGTGTCCCTCCCACACATACCGTGTGGTACAGGTGTCGCTCCCACACATACCGTGTGGTACAGGTGTCGCTCCCACACATACCGTGTGGTACAGGTGTCGCTCCCACACATACCGTGTGGTACAGGTGTCGCTCCCACACATACCGTGTGGGACAGGTGTTGCTCCCACACATACCGTGTGGTACAGGTGTCGCTCCCACACATACCGTGTGGTACAGGTGTCGCTCCTGCTGGCTCCAGCACGCATTGGGGGTGCGGTACCGCATGTGGTGCCATGCAGCCGAAGGATTGAATCTCGACGGCGGGTTCGGGAGCTCAAACACTCCCCCCAACGCGCCACCATCGCCACCGCTGCCGCCGCTGCTTCCGCTGCTGTTCCCGCCGTCGCCACTGTGACCGCCCGCACCCCCGCCGTCACTCCCAGCCCCGCCTGTCGTTTCTGGCAGCCCCGATTCACCCTCGCCTCCTGTGGCGCCTGTCTCTGAGGCGGTGCCATCAGCGGCAGTGGAGGCAGGCTGCGTGCATTGCGAAATAGGGAGGCAGGAATGTGGGGTGGGCGGAATGCGGGGATGAGGGCGTGCAAAGAGGGGGGAATGCGGGAGGGATGGGTGCAAGGGGGGGAATGCGGGAAGGGATGGCGTGCAAAGAGGGGGGAATGCGGGAAGGGATGGCGTGCAAAGAGGGGGGAATGCGGGAAGGGATGGCGTGCAAAGAGGGGGGAATGCGGGAAGGGATGGCGTGCAAAGAGGGGGGAATGCGGGAAGGGATGGCGTGCAAAGAGGGGGGAATGCGGGAAGGGATGGCGTGCAAAGAGGGGGGAATGCGGGAAGGGATGGCGTGCAAAGAGGGGGGAATGCGGGAAGGGATGGCGTGCAAAGAGGGGGGAATGCGGGAAGGGATGGCGTGCAAAGAGGGGGGAATGCGGGAAGGGATGGCGTGCAAAGAGGGGGGAATGCGGGAAGGGATGGCGTGCAAAGAGGGGGGAATGCGGGAAGGGATGGCGTGCAAAGAGGGGGGAATGCGGGAAGGGATGGCGTGCAAAGAGGGGGGAATGCGGGAAGGGATGGCGTGCAAAGAGGGGGGAATGCGGGAAGGGATGGCGTGCAAAGAGGTGGGAATGTGGGAAGGCTTTGCGGCGCCTCAAAGAAGCAGTCCCTCTCGCCTCTTGTGGGCGTGCCTCGGATTCGTGCGCCAGTGATGGAGACCGGCTGCAGGTAGAGCGGCATGCAAGGAGGGGGGTTTTGTGGGGATGGGGGAATGTGGGGACGGGGAAATGCGTTGAGGGGGGGATGCGGGGAGTGGGGAATGTGGGGATAGGAGAACGTGGGGAGGGGGGAATATGGGGAGGGGGAAATGTGGGGATAGGGGAACGTGGGGAGGGGGGAATATGGGGAGGGGGAAATGTGGGGATAGGGGAACGTGGGGAGGGGGGAATATGGGGAGGGGGAAATGTGGGGATAGGGGAACGTGGGGAGGGGGGAATATGGGGAGGGGGAAATGTGGGGATAGGGGAACGTGGGGAGGGGGGAATATGGGGAGGGGGAAAAGTTGGAAGGGGGGAATGCGACGGGTGGCTCTCGAGTCAACTGGGAGGAGGAAGGGGGGAGAGAATGCGAGCCACAGGGCAGGGCTGATGAAAGAAAGGTGGAAAACATGTGGTCTCCCCGGGAGGCAAGGGTCACACAATGTGAGCCTTGGTCGTTTTGCAAGGGTCGTCACTGGCAGTGGAGTGCGACCGTGGGCCACCTGGCACGGGTTGGATGATAGTGGTGTGTCAGAGAGTCGCTATCGTTCGGTGTGCTTGACGCGTGCAGCGGCTGCATGCGCTGGCAACGAGAGCGCGCGACGGACGCAATATCGTCCCGCGGGGCATGCAAGCAGGGCTGCGTTGCGGGGAGTGAGGAATGCGGAAACCATCACGGCGTGGGGAATGCGGTACCCCTTGCGGAGAAGACGGTACCCTTTGCGGGGAAGACGGTACCCCTTGCGCGGAAGATGGTACCCTTTGCGCGGAAGACGGTATCCCTTGAGCGGAAGATGGTACCCTTTGCGCGGAAGACGGTATCCCTTGCGGGGAAGACGATACCCTTTTCGCGGAAGACGGTATCCATTGCGCGGAAGACGGTATCCCTTGCGCGGAAGACGGTACCCCTGGCGCGGAAGACGGCATCCGTGGCGGTCGCCAGACTGTGAACAGCTGAATGAACTCAACACGCAGCTCCCGTTGTGGTGCCGTTTAAACATCCCCTTCTCATCATGGCAACATCATTCGATTAACGAGCTCGTTGCGCGACGATCGCCGGACCATGAGGCTCCTGGAATGATCTACGGTCACCGCCGCGTTACCCGCTTCAAGATTCTGCGACGCCTCGGACGCACGATACGAAGAGGCGAAGTGGAAATGCTAGCGGTGATAGTACCTGCGATTGTGCTGCCGCGGGTGAGCAGAGCGACAATAAAGCGAGCAGAAGCGCAGCCCAACGCAGCACGCTGTGCCGTCGCCGGACTTGTCTCCTGCGGTGAAAGCCGTGCTGGAACATTTTAACTACGGGAGTCTTCTTAGCTGACTGAAAAGTCACTGTGAATCTGCATCCAGCACTTAGCAGTCAGCACGGCTGCTGTAAGTTTGTGAACCTCGAGCGACTGCAGGCGATATTCATGGAGGATCGTCACTAGACCATATGAATGAACGCGAAGAGTGCAGGCTAGAGCTTATTCGACATCGATGCTCCTGATAAGACGCGAATCAGTTCAGAGCTTTGATTCAAAGTATACACTTAGCCCGCGTTATTTTCACACCCAGTATTTTCACAGGGGGTGCCGCAGAGAGGGTATTCACCCCTTGAAAGCTGCTAATGAAGACCAGATCCCGATACCCTTGAAAACTACCAGAACTTGGGTTTCAATACGAAAAGTTTACTGCTCGATTTAGTGTTTCTCGAGTCAGGAAACCCGACGTCAGCTTAGGCAGTGCTCAAAGTTTTTTCCCGCGTGGAGTCTGCCAAGCTTAGGCCGTAGGAACAAGGAAGTACTGTCTACGCACTCAGAAATGGTCAGGATAGAAACAAAAGTTTTTCTTTCGCCCAGTTTCAGGGTGTGAAATTACCGCGGGCTAGGTGTACGGGTATGGCGGTTTCGTCCGTTAGGCTTTGCTGCGCATCCGACTCCCTGATAAGCATCAAGCGGTGGCTCGTGGTGCGTGGCTTCATGCATGGGTTGCGGACAAGAAAGGATAGCCCGTACATGTAACGTCAAGGAGCCAGCAGCGAGCCAACAAATCCTGCAGAGTGGGTCAACAGACTTTGTCCCAAGCGTGCGCCTGATTGCGGTCGGGTAAGGTGTCCTCTTCGGTTTAGCAGAATAAAATATTAAACTACGGTTGACTAGGGTATTGAGCGGCATCAGTCGGTGAGTTGAGTCAGCGGAAGGAATCAGGCATGGAACGGCGGCTGCTGGGCTCAACCAGTGTGCTGCTGGGGTTCAAAAGCTGTCGGCTGGGCTCTTTCCCGCGCTTTTCCTTCGGGGGAAGGAACCAGTGCGCGCAACGCAGCCTTTGGTTTTGGCCGCGCGTCGTGTCAAGATCTGCATGATGGTGGAAAGGCACCGGTACAAGTCATCCCCGCCAACGCACAATGTGGTAGAGACCTTGACTTTTGATAAAAGGCACGTACACTGCACGCTAGGCAGGTGTTAACACTTTTGACAGCATGGATGAACAATGTGAGAAAAAAACCCATATAGACATGATTTGGCCCATCACGTCAAGGTCCTCGTTTCATATTCTGTTACTCTGAATTCTCATACTAGTACGGTACGCTCGTTTGGCTGAGAATTCTCGCAACTTGCGAAGTTAATCCCTGAGCTTCCTGCACCACTCTCACCTCCTCCCCAGCCTTCGCTACGGCCGCACAGCCAGGAATATCTGTTGAACGCACTCCAGCATTCCCTGCTCTGAGCACTTCATCCCCCTCATGCCCTAGCCTTCTACAATCACTCAGTGTAGCTCCTGCCCCCACGGCACTGACGGCACCCTCATTGTCACGCGCCGCTAGTTTGTCCGCAAGCCAGGCTGCGAGGTCGCGAACAGTGTCGATGTCCCTCAGGTGGGGGAGGGAGTCCAGCGGTGCCACGTCGGCCACCCCGCTGGCACGGAGGGCGGCGAGGGACTGCTGAAGCACCCTCTCAGTGCTCCAGTCGATGGCCTGATGTGGGCAGGGGGTGTCAGACAGGGGGGGAGGGGAGGGAGGATGGTGGAGGAAGAGGGCAAAGAGAGAGTGTGGAGGGAATGGAGGGCAGTGAGGGACTGCTGAAGCACCCTCTTAGCGCTCCAGTCGATGGCCTGATGTGGCCTGGGTGTGACACACAGAGGACGGGGAGGGGGCGGATGGCAGGAGGAGCATGGGATGAAACGATAGTGGAGGGAGAGGGCAAAGAAACAACGGACAAGTGCGTGAGAGTTGCAGTGAGATGTGCTGCACGTGCGAGCTGCTACCGACACGTGCAGGCTCGCATGGAATGGGCGCACGTTGTGCACTAACATGCCACACTTACATTGAAGAGGCACGGCCGCACTGCTGTGAGGCCGAGCAGGTAGTATCCGCCATCCAGAGCCAGCCCAAAGACCACCTGAGGGGAAAGTAAAAAAGGGCGCACGAGAGAGGGACGCGGAAAAGCGGACACATGAGAGAGAATTCAAAACGCGGGCACGTGAGAGGGCATCCTAAATCAAAAGAACTCTTCTTTACATTATTTTGAGAGAAAACTTGTTCATTCCGCACCAATCTTCTCATTGTCTCAAACCCCCTCTCCCTCCCTCCGCAGCACCTCCCACTTCCGCCCCCAAGTCTTGCCCTCTTTCCTCCGCTCACCCCGTGCTGCCGCAGAGCAGAGAGCGCAGCCGCCACAGTGGCGCCGCTCACATCAGGGATGTCCGTTCCAACCACCACCACCTGCCACGGGATGATGGCCCGGATAGGGGATGCGTGGCAAGCGGGGAGAGAGGGAATTGGAAGGGGCGAGAGGGTATGAGCGAGTGCGGGGTGGAGGTAGGAATGAGCGAAATAGCTGTCGAGAGGAGTTGTGAGAGGAAGGAAGGAAAGAAATAGAGATCGGAGAAATGCAAGCAGACTGATGTGTGGCTCATGCTGTGGAATCCAAGGGCCAAGACAGCTCACCCTGTGGTATCCAAGGGCCAAGACAGCTCACCCTGTGGCATCCAAGGGCCAAGACAGCTCACCCTGTGGTATCCAAGGGCCAGCACGTGCTGGAAGGCAGCTTGCATGCGAGCACCCACGTCTCCCGCTACCTGAACGGACAGAGAAGAGCGGAGGCAGAGTTGGGAAGAGCAGCGGCAGGTGTGCAGTCTGAAGGTGCAATGGCATGTCGCAACACACGCCAATGGCCTGCTCACTCATGCAGACGCGAGTCCGCATAACTGGAATATGAGCATGCATGCGGTGTGTGTGGATGGGGTGTGTGCATGTGGTGTGTGTGGATAGGGTGTGTGCATGGGATGTGTGCATGGGGTGCGTGCATGCATGGGGTGCGTGCATGCATGGGGTGCGTGCATGCATGGGGTGCGTGCATGCATGGGGTGCGTGCATGCATGGGGTGCGTGCATGCATGGGGTGCGTGCATGCATGGGGTGCGTGCATGCATGGGGTGCGTGCATGCATGGGGTGCGTGCATGCATGGGGTGCGTGCATGCATGGGGTGCGTGCATGCATGGGGTGCGTGCATGCATGGGGTGCGTGCATGCATGGGGTGCGTGCATGCATGGGGTGCGTGCATGCATGAGGTGCGTGCATGCATGAGGTGCGTGCATGCATGGGGTGCGTGCACGGCATGTGAATGCATAGCTGCGTTGGGCTTCGACCTGAGACACAAAGCGGAGGGAGTTCGGAGATGGCAGCAATCCGTGCATCCACCGCTTGATCTCGGATTCATCCGACGGCTCAGAGAAGAAGATGAAGATATGTGTGGATGCCTGCCTGCCACGTCATGCCACACACGGGGGATGCCATACCGAGAAGGAACACATGCTATGATGGCTCCAAGCAGCCACGCCAGGCGCGAGTACCCCCACGTGAAGCCTGATGGACTTCGGATCCAGAAATCGCATCCCACCATTCCCACAACATGTCAGGTCGCCCTGGCTACGGCACCCTACAAGAGCTCACGTTCTAGAAGTCAGCACCTCGTTTTAGTCACGTTCAGGTCGGGACTAAGTGCGAAGCACTTGGCAGCCTGCACCTCGCTACAGTCACGTACAGGTCGGGGCAGCGCGCGATCGCGGAGACCACGTGTTCGCAGCACGCGCGGTAGAAGTCGCACGCCGCTTCGGGTCCCACGGCTGCAGCGAGGCGCGTCTTCACGCGCCCCGGCACGGGCCGCCTCACGAAGATCATCGCCGCCTGCTGCGCGCCGAGCGGCTCATTCGGTCTCAGCACAAGGCCGTTCGGTTCAGGGCCGCTCATTTCAAAGTCGCTCTTTCCAGGGCCGCGCAGGCTCGTCCTAGGAGATTAAAGCTTATCGACGCCTTCGTGCCGCCTCGCGGCGATGGTGACTCGCTCGCTTTGGGCGTGGCGAGCATGCGGTTAGTAGGGTTGGCGATTGAGACGGGCAAAGAGAGAGAGAGAGGAGAGGCGGGCGGGGAAAAACGAAAGTGACGGAGAGGGCGGGTGAGTTCACGCCATGCCGGTCAGCGCCTCGCGCGCAGGGGACACAGGGGACTGGCGAGCTCGCGGCGAATATGGCGAGGGGGAGCAGTCAAAGGCCAGTGCAGTAGCAGGCCCTTACGCACTCTAGACCACCTTCGGGGTGTGGGTTGAGGGGAAGGGCACGGGGAGGGGAGGCGGAAGCAAAGGGGAAGTTCGTTCCCCTGGTTGGCTTGCGAAGACCATTCATTTCCCCTCGCGAATGTCGCGACGATTCTCGAACCTGCTCTTTCGCCGATGGGCCATCCAGTTCTCGTTGCAACCATCCAATGGAATCGAGGCGGCACGGCACCGACCCACCACCGACTCAGAAACAAATTGACGATGTCAGGCGAATTTCGTCAACAACGTTGCGAACGCAGAAGGGTCAGCGGCTGGCGGAGACGCAACTCGCGCGCTGAAGTTTGAGTGCATGCGGGCGCAGAGAAGATTCCGCTCAAACCCGGAAGCAGCGACCAGACCAGAGATATTCCGCTCCGCCCTGTACCGTTTCTTCCCCTCCCCTGCACTCCCCCATAAGCAAAAAGTGAATCTCACAGCAGACAGACTCTCACGCATCCAGATTCGCTCGTCTCGATCGACGACTCCGCTTCGATCCAGATACCCGTTTGAGGAGAGAGAGAGTTTCGCCCGAGGGCACCCGGCTAGATCACTGCAACGTTTGCCATCCGCCATCCGCCATCCACCATTCTCCATCCACCATCCGCCATCCGCCATCCGCCATGAGCGCGAGCGGCGCAGCCGCGGCGACGGCCACAGCCGCAGCCGCCAGCCTGAAGCAGCGCCGGCCGCCGGCGGACGGGCAGCAGCCGGCCGTCGCGGCGGACGAGATTAAGAACAAGGCCAAGCCGCGCGGCGCGTCCCCTCGCCGGCGATCTGGCTGGCTCGTGCTGCTCGTGATCGTTGTCGCGGCAGCGGCGGCGGCGGCGGGAGCGGGTTACCTGTGGTGGCGAGAGTACGGCGAGTACGGCGAGGGCGCGGAGGAGGGGGACCAAGAGAGCGCCGCGGCGAGCGAGAAGGCGGCGACGAGGCCGAAGCCGCGGAAAGCCCAATGGCAAGCCGATGTGAGTCGCTGGGCCGCTGGGTGCGTTGGCGATGCGAGTTGAGTCGCTGGGTGCGTTGGCGATGCGAGTTGAGTCGCTGAGTGCGTTGGCGATGCGAGTTGAGCCGCTGGGTGTGTTGGCGATGCGAGTTGAGTCGCTGGGTGCATCGGCGGTGTGAGTCTCGAAGTGCATTCGTTGCAAAGTGCTGAAGCTGCAAGCCGCAATGCTGGCGACGAAGGGCGCCTGCGATCCGTCCTGGATAAGCGATCCCTTATCGTCGCCTGACCCCTCCGTTGAGTCTGCGCCAATCGCTTTCCGCCATCCCGAGACCAGATCCGAGACTTGGGTCCGGTGTCAAATCTTTAGTCGTCGCAACCAGTACTATTTGTTAGCGCGTCTTTTCTCCTCCCTGCTGTCTTGTCAACCCGCCTTTTCCTGCCCGGTGCTTCTGCTACCCATGAGCTGCCTGCCCGCATGCCGTGCATCAATGCTTACATGTGACTGCATCGATTGTGACTGCCCCGATTGTGACTGTAACAGAAGCTGTGGCGGGCGGAGGAACTCGCCAAGTACAACGGCTCTCAGAAGGGCCTTCCGCTGCTGCTGGGCATCCTAGGGTGAGTGTGGAGTGAGTGTGGGGCATCCTGGGGTGAGTGTGGAGTGAGTGTGGGGCATCCTAGGGTGAGTGTGGAGTGAGTGTGGGGCATTCTGGGGTGAATAAGTTGATGGGTTATTGGGGTGTCATGACTCCTTGCCCCATTTCCCATACCCCTTGCGATGCCCCATGCCATACCCCATGCCCATTCCCCATACCCATACCCCATGCCATACCCCATGCCATACCCCATGCCCATTCCCCATACCTATACCCCATGCCATACCCCATGCCCATTGCCCATACCCATACCCTATGCCATACCCCATGCCCATTCCCCATACCCATAACCCACGCCCTTTCCCCATACACATACATACCCCATGCCCCTATGCCCCATGACCATACTCCATGCCCACACCCTGTTACCCATACCCCATGCCCCATTTCCCATAACCCATACCCCATACTTCATGCCCAATGCCCCGTGCGTCGCTCCTCTCGTGTGCCGCATGCTCGCAGGGACGTGTTTGATGTGAGCAAGGGCAAGAAGCACTACGGCAAGGGGCAGGGCTACAACCACTTCGCTGGCAGGTCAGTGCTTGGCGCGCTTCAACAGCAGGCAAGGGGCAGGGCTACTACCACTTCCTGGCACGTCAACCATTCCAACAATTGAAGTCAGCCGTTCCTCTTTCTCCTCTCCCCACCCTTTTTACCTTGCCTCCTCGCCGCCCATTCTCGAGTTGCATCCCCAAGCACCCCTCTCGCTCGCCCCCCTCGCCCCGTTCCCTTCTCATGAACGCATGGCCTCTTCTCATGAACGCATGGCCTCTTCTCATGAACGCATGGCCTCTTCTCATGAACGCATGGCCTCTTCTCATGAACGCATGGCCTCTTCTCATGAACGCATGGCCTCTTCTCATGAACGCATGGCCTCTTTCAAAACTCCCACGTCCCCTTCCCTCTCATTCACTCTTTCTTCCCTTCCCCCTCCTCCTCTCCCCCCCCCCCCCCCCCGTCCTCCACTCTCCCCCTTCGCCACCCCCGCTGGTCACGGATTCACCTCCACGCCCATCTCACAGCCCTCCTCCCTCCCTTCCTCTTCTGCCTTGCCCCCACCCCCCTGGCCCCTCTGCCTTGCGCCAATCCCCCCCGCCCCTCTACCTTGCCCATCCCCAGGGACGCCTCGAGAGCATTTGTGTCGGGCAACTTCTCAGGTGCGTATGCCCGCCACATGCCAGGGCCACCCATAGCTGGTCATGCCATGCCATGCCGTGCCGTGCCGTGCCATGCCATGCCGTGCGGTGCCGTGCCGTGCCGTGCCGTGCCGTGCCGCGCCACGCCCCACCATGCAATTGATGCTGAGCCTGTGTTCAATATAGCTCCAGCTCAAAATGTCCTGGTCTCTTTCTGGTTCGCACAGCACCTTGAGTTTCTCCACTCGCACTCTCCCCTCCTCTTCTCTCAAGCGGTTCTTTGTGTTCATGGAAGAGTGGGCACAAGGTGAGTGCATGCATGCATGGGCTAACCCCTCTCCTCCCCGCCTCTCCCTGCAGGCGAGGGGCTGACGGACGACCTGGAAGGGCTGACAGGCGAGCAGTGCATCGGCATTGCTGACTGGCGGGACTTCTACTTCAAGACGTACATGTGAGCGCTGTGCGGTTCACGGCTCCATGGTAGTGTGGAGCCCCGTGCATGTGGGGGACTTGCATGTGGGGGACTTGCATGTGGGGGACTTGCATGTGGGGGACTCAGATTAGAAACCGGCCTCAGTTTAGACTGTTCTCTTCCAGCATGGTAGCCTCACGACCATATGAGGACGCACGGTCTTTCACCCCATCTCCCCCCACTTCATCACGCATGCAAGCAGCCAGCCACGTGGGGAAGCTGGTGGGGCGGTTCTTAGACTGGCAGGGCAGGCGGACAGGCGTGCTGGGGGGTTTTGAGTCCGACGGAACGCCAGTTAGGTGCCGTGGTGTCAACATGCGGCAGCAACTTCGGGAATAACACATGTGACATGGCAGACAGGACGCACCGCTGAGGGAGCAAATCTCCATCCTCCACTCTTTCCCCCTCTCGTCCATGCGCCTTGCTGCTTGCTCTGAATGGTCGTCCATGCACCTTGCTGCTTGCTCTGAACGGCTTTGTGGGTAGCCGGGTGGGGCGCTTCCATGATGGGCAGGAAAAGGCAACCGTTGAGAGGCGTGCTGGGGGAATTCGGCTTGCCGCTGAAGGAAGGCAATCCTAGATTTCCCTGCTTTAACCCTCTCTTTCCTGCCCTCCCGCCCGTGTTCCCTGCTTTTCACTGCGAGCAGCCACGTGGGGAAGCTGGTGGGGCGGTTCTATGACGAGCAGGGGAGGGCGAGGGATGCGCTGGGGGAGTTCGAGGTGCTGCTGAAGGAGGGCAAGCGGCTGAGGGGCGTGGCGAAGGCGGTGGAGAAGAAGTACCCCGGCTGCAACTCGCGATGGGCGCAGAACGAGGGAGGCAAGGTGAGGCTCCTTTCTTCCGCGCTCGCCCTGATGTTTCTTTGTGCTCTCTTTTCTTGGGGCTCTTCACACTTGTCCGTGTGTGTCAATCCCATCCAAGTACACCAGCTGCAACCCGCGATGGGCGCCAAATCTTATATTTTGAGGCGCTCCTAACACCCCTTTCCCATTGTTCCCCCCATCAATATCCGAATCCCCTCCCCCCCCCCCCCCCCCCCCCCCAACTTCCTCCCACCCTCCTCTCTCTGTTTCTTCCTTGTCCTCTTCACTTCGAGCGGGGTGTGGTGTGCCTCCCAGGTGTGGTGTGCCTCCCAGGTGTGGTGTGCCTCCCAGGTGTGGTGTGCCTCCCAGGTGTGGTGTGCCTCCCAGGTGTGGTGTGCCTCCCAGGTGTGGTGTGCCTCCCAGGTGTGGTGTGCCTCCCAGGTGTGGTGGTGGTGTGGTGTGCCTCCCAGGTGTGGTGTGCCTCCCAGGTGTGGTGTGCCTCCCAGGTGTGGTGTGCCTCCCAGGTGTGGTGTGCCTCCCAGGTGTGGTGTGCCTCCCAGGTGTGATGTGCCTCCCAGGTGTGATGTGCCTCCCCAGGTGTGGTGTGCCTCCCAGGTGTGGTGTGCCTCCCAGGTGTGGTGTGTCTCGCAGTATCCTTGGAGTACTGGAGCCAGAGAGCGAGACAGCAGTTGGCAGAGGCCGGGACATGTGCAGAGGCGGAGGGGGAGCATTGGGTGGCAGTGAGGACACGCGCTGCGCGAGCTTCATGCAATCCTCATCTTCCTCACCCCTCCCTCCCTCCCTCCCTTCTCACCATTGCCACAATTCCAGGTGTGGTGTGACAGCGGAGTCCCCCGCAAGATCCCCCGCATGCCCGAGGCGGAGGGCGGGCCTGTGGGCGGCAGTGAGGACACGCGGTGTGCGTGCTTCAGCAAGGAGCAGCTGGCAAGCCGCAACGACCTGCAGGAGTATGATGGGTGCGACCCTGAGGCCATTAAATGTGTGTCGTCGCCACCTGAAGACCCCAATGCTGCTGCAGCAGGGGATGGCAGTGAGGAGGACGAGGAGTGAAGGGAGAGAGGGAGTGTGACTCGTTCCAGGGGGTGCACTAGGGTGCAGCTGGGGAAGGGGACTTGTGCCCTGCAGCTGTGCGATGGGTGGCACCGTGGGGCCATGAAGTGTGAGTCGTCGCCGACTGAGGACCCCATTGCCGTGCCCTCAAGGGATGGGGGCAGGCCTGACGTTTAAAAAAAAGGCACATTGAGAAAGTTCAAGCGAAAGAATGTCTAGAACAAGGTGTTGGAAATACCTCAAGGACTTGAGCGTTTCTGAAGTGTAACACCACACTCGAGGAAGGTCGTAACGGGTACGCGAGTCAGCGGAGGTTACACGAGGGGATGGACAAACAACACGAAAGGACTCGAAGGGTCGCAACTGGAGGTTGCGACTGACAGTTACAATTGCAAAGATGGTAACCGAAGCAACAATCGAGTCGCTGTGCAGTCGAGCAAACAGGAACTAATCGCACTATCTTCGGCTGAAGCAGAATATATCGCCCTCTGCACTGCGACCAAGGAAGGACTTTACCTGCGAGAGTTACTTGAGGAAGCAAAGATTGCGACCCTGCCCGTCTTCTCACTCCTCTGCGACAACCAATCTGCGATCAAAATCGCGAACAAGGACGGCTTCGCCAACCGAACCAAGCACATCGCTCTGCGATACTTCTTCGTCAAGGATGAAATCGCGAAGGGGAGACTTCAACTCAGTTACTGCCCTACGACAGAAATGGCCGCAGTCTACCTGACGAAGAAACTGGCGAAGGAAAAGTTCGATTACTGCATGCAGCTGACTGGGCAGAAAACGTCACCGGATCTGAACACATCAGCACTCCAGAAACGAAGGGGAGTGTTGGAAATACCTCAAGGACTTCAGCGTTTATGAAGTGTAACACCACACTCGAGGAAGGTCGTAACGGGTACGCGAGTCAGCGGAGGTTACACGAGGGGATGGACAAACAACACGAAAGGACTCGAAGGGTCGCAACTGGAGGTTGCGACTGACAGTTACAACTGCAAAGATGGTAACCGAAGCGACAATCGAGTCGCTGTGCGACTCGATAACCGCTCTTTCAACTGTATTCTACAACTGCTTTACTTTCCTACTTTCTATATATTGCTGTATGCTTGTTCTTTTAATCAATCACTTGTTCTCACATACTAGTACAAGGGTTCAACTACTCAACTTCCGCTGCACTACTCAAGTCTCCTTTTGCAACTGGACTTAGTCTCTGGAAAGATCCTAAGGGCTTTTCTCAGCCCAATACAAGGCATACAAGGGAATATAACCTAATGGGTTGTACTCCCTAAGGCACAACCCTACATAGTCTACAGAAACATATAATATATGTTTGACACACCCCCTAGACAGGATAGGGGCAGTGCCCGATGAGAGTGAAACAGCTCAGGGTGGCACTACTAGTCTAGCCTCTGAGGCAGGGGTCTAAAGACCAGTCAGACAAGTACAGACAAGGCAAGAGCAAGACCAGGGTGGCACTACTAGTCCAGCCACTGGGAAGAGACCGCAAGGCCAGTCAGGGTAATATATACCGTAATCCCCCGGATATAACACCCCGGGTATAGTACAAAATTCATGCAAAATCAGGGGGGTGGGTGCTCTATTTCGCGTTTAGGCTATAAAACCCTGGTATTATATTTGAGGACAGAATTTTTTAGATGTGCATTGGAATCAGTGTTTCATGGCGATTTCAGCCATCCAAGTACCAGCTGAAAAGGCGAACGTTTTCTCGAGGTTCGAAATGTTAAAGTAAGAACTGAATGTGTGAACTAGAAGGAGAAACCTAGAACAAATACTAGTTGGTTGTACTCACTAGAAGCATACCCCAGTCTAGCCTATAACTTCTACATAGCTAATATGTATAAGTTGACACACCCCCTAGGCTAGACAAGGGGTGAAGCTAAGCAAGAAGCAAACAGCTCAGGGTGGCACTACTAGTCCAACCACTGAGGCAGGGGTCTGGAGACCAGTCAGCAAGAGTACAAACAAGACTAAAGCAAGCCAGGGCGGCACTACTAGTCCAGCCACTGGAGGTAAGGCCACAAGGCCAGTCTGACAGGTATATAAAACAGAGAGTACACAATCAGGATCCTAACAGGTGAGTAGCTACAGGAACAAGACCAAGCTGTACACAGTGCCGCGGATGATCTTTAGGCACAAGCGCCTTAGTAAAGATATCAGCTGTGTTGGCACCTGAGGCCAAGTGAACTACGCGGGCCTGGCGGCGCTGCAGTAACTCGCGCAAGAGGAAGTACCGTAGCTGGATATGCTTCGCTCTGCCCTCAAGCCGAGGCTCCTGACACATGAGTATCATGGCCCTATTGTCAGCGTACAGGACCGGGGCAGAGCTAGGCCGCTCACCTAAGCTTGTGAGCAAGAAGGTCAGCCAGCGGAGCTCCTGTGCCGCCATGGCACCAGCATAGATCTCAGTCTCACAGCTGGACTGAGCCACAGACGACGAGCGAGTGGATCTCCAAGAGATAGCACCCGAACCAAGGCTAAAACAGTAGCCCTGCGACGACCTGAGCGTCACAATCGTTTGCCCAAGAAGCGTCTGTGTGCCCAGTAAGGACCACTGGCCTGCGTCCTCCTAGCACTAACCCCATGCCCGATGTACTAGCAAGATAACGCAAAACCCTCTTAGCGGCAGACCAGTGCTGAGGTCGGTGTCTGCCTGTAGCCACAAAGCGAGCCAGGATGCTGAGAGGGTATGCGAGATCTGGGCGAGTGCAAGTCATCAGGTACATGAGGCAACCCACCACCTCTGCGTAGGGGCCACTGGGCTCTACTGGCTCAACAGGAACGGGAGCAGAGAGCCCATGGTCTACAGGTAGAGGTCTGGGCTGTGCGGAGGAGAACTGAAGACCGAACCTCTGAAGGACCTGACGCACTAAGTGTGACTGTGTCAGAGTAATGGTGCATGCTGCTCTGTCCCTAGAGATCTGCAGGCCAAGATAGCGACGCAGCTCTCCAAGGTCAGTGCAGGTGTGTCTCTTCAGCAGCTCGGCCTTCACGGAGGCCAGTGCGTCCCTGTCAGCAGTAGCGAAGACCAGGTCGTCTACGTAGCCAAGGATGTAGAACGGAGTCTAGCCGGAACGCACAAACAGTGAGGGGTCAGCAGAGGACGGGAAGAACTGCAGGTCTGCTAACGTGGCATGCAGCGTGTCGTGCCACTCGCGGGGAGCCTGACGCAGGCCGTAGACCGGGCGCCTGAGAAGCCACAAGGTCCCAGGGGGGAAGGTACCAGTGAAGCCCTGTGGTCGGCGCAGGTAGACCTGCTTGTGTAGGCTGCCCTGAAGAAAGGCAGTAGAGAAGTCAAGGGAGTGAAGCTCGTAGTCGCGCTGTGCTGCTACGTGTAGCAGCGCCCGAAGAGTGGTCATCTTCGGTGTCGGGGCGAAGGTCTGGAAGAAGTCAACCCCCTCGCGCTGACTGAAGCCTCCGGCCACGTAGCGCGCCTTGAATTCAGGCGGCTCTCCAGGGGGGCGCTTCACCTTGAAGAGCCACCGACCATCGACTACGTTCACCCCAGGCGGGGGAATTGCGTCGACGTAAGTGCCGGTGGACCTCCAAGATGCCATCTCCTGCTCCATGGCAGCTATCCACTGAGAGGCCCAAGGTCCCGAGGTGGCCTCAGCGTAAGTGCGAGGGGTCGGGATGTCGAAGGCGTCTAGGTCACCCTCAGGGACTAACAACATGGAGCAGAGATGGGGAGCAGCCTCGGAAAGGAAAGCAAGCTCGTACTGCCTGTCCTCTAGGACTTCACTGCCAAGGGCAGGAGCACCCCCGACGGACGGAGGACGGGCAGGGTTAGAGACCAGAGCGGTAGCGTAATCAAGGCGGCGGGTAGAGGCGAAGTCAGCGACAGCAGCGACAAGCGCGTCAAGGCGCGAGACAGGAACAGAAGGGTCGGTAACAAGAGAGGCAAGGACCCGAGGGACAAGGGGACGAGCGGCACGGAGGTAGTCAGAGAACGGAGGAGGTGCAACAGCAAGGGACGAGGGAGGAGGGGACGGGAGGAGGGGAGGACGAGACGAGCGGGAACTGAGCAACATAAGGTGGGAGCGCAGGACAGGAGAGACGGGACGAGCACGGGAGGGACGGCGAGACCAAACGTGGGACGGAGGTGTAGGGTCTCAGGGGACAGCGGAGGGGACACAGGAGGGGAACGAGGAGGGAGACGGGCCGGAGACGAGTCTGGCGGCGGGAACACACGACCGTAGACAGGAAGGTCAGCAGGCGGTGGGGGAGACATCGGCGAGCGGTCCGGGGAGGGAAGGCTGAGCAGGCAGAGAGCGGAGATCGGCGGCGACGGCTGCTGTGGCTGCTGCGACGGCTGGGCCCGAACCCTCGGGCCGGCAGAGGCAGGACGACCATCGACGGAACCCTCAATAGCAGCACCCCCAGAACCAACACCCCCAGAGCGAGAACCCCCTCCAACACCGGCGGCACCCCTTGGAGCCGCAGGACGAACACCCTCCTCCACACCAGCACCCCCAGGAGCCAAGAGCGGCGGCGACGGCAGCGGCGGCGGCAGCAGCGGCGACGGCAGCGGCGCCGACGGCGGCGGCGGCTGCGGCGGAGGCGGCGACTGCGATAGTGGAGGCGAAGACACCGGGAAAGGGGGACGCGGCAAGGACTGGCCGGGGGTACCACCAGAGTCAGCGGACTCCTCAACTGGGACAACCGACGGGAGGGGAGTGACGTGAGAGACACCAGACGGGGCAGGGCGAGGCGGGAGAGGAGCAGGGGCTACCGGGGGAGAGGGAGCAAGGAACAGGGGCGGGGCAACCGGGAGACCGCAGTGAGGGAAGCGGCGGTAGAAGGAGACAGAATCGTTAAAGGTGACATCACGAGAGTGGAGGAAGCGGTGAGACGGCGGGTGGTAGAAAAACCAATCCGACGAGTCCAGGGGGAAACCGAGGAAGACACAGGGGACAGTGCGGGCAGTAAGCTTGTCCGTGCCAGAGGCACAAACGTGAGCAAGGCAGCCCCAGACGTGGAACGCAGACGCGGCACCCGGGGACCCGGTCCAAAGGAGGGTCGGCGAAATCTGCGGCCGCTGGGAGCATGGCCACAAGTTAAGCTGGTGAGCAGCGTAGCGAACAGCGAACGGCCACAGAAAATGGGGGGCATCGGCATGAATCATGGATGTACGGGCGACCTCCAGGACCAAGCCGATGCGGCGCTCAGCAACCCCATTCTGCTGTGGCGAGTCCGGCAAGGTGTACGACTGGGTGATGCCCTCCGCACGACAGAACTGTCCAAGCCGACCAGAGGCGAACTCGCTGCCATGGTCAGAGTGGAGACACAACACGAGGAGACCGCGGTGAAGACGCGCAGCCACAACCCACAGGAGAAGAACGTCGGGCACGTCGGCCTTCCGCTCCAGGGGAAACACCGTGGTGTAGCGCGTTTAGTCGTCGACGAGCACAAGGAAGTAGCACTCACCTCGCGGTCCGGGGACGGGGGCAGGGCCCCAAACGTCCAGGTGCAGGGTCTGAAGGGGGGCAGTAGCAGGGCGCAGCGAGGAGGAGTGAGGAGCACGGCGGAGTCGGCCCTCGACGCAAGGCGTGCACGGTGGCGCAGTCGAGGGAGGAAGGGGAGGGAGCGACGCAGGTAGACCTAAGACAAGACCGTGCTGGGACATGTGACGCAGACGTGGGAGAGCAGGGTGACCTAAGCGGTGGTGCCAGAGAAGGGACGGGTGAGTGAGGGACCGACACGAGCAAGCTGCAGCGACTTGGGAGGACGCACCAACCGGGGGGGAAGCGGTGTCGAGGGTAAACAGACCGGACACCGGGTCCCGGGGGAACGTCGCAAGGGGGGAACCTGACACAGCCTCAGAACAGACAGCGAATTGCTCGTGCCCGGGGAACGTGGTGGTGACACCGAGGTCCTGGAGACAGCCGACACCAACCAAGTTCCTCAAGAACGAGGGAACGTGGAGGCCTGTAAGGGAGCCCGAGGGAACTGCTGGATAGGGAAGGGACGTGGAGCTGCGAGCGACGACAGGACCCGCAGAGGGGTCAGCGAGAGAGACAACAGCAGGCGTAGCAAACGGCA